TGTTGTAATTTAGTGTCTCGTGCAGAAAGGCGAAAGGGGACTTTTCCCTGTGATTTTGGTGCATCTGACGAAGTGACCACGCGGCCAGGACTCGCTCATTTCCTGCGTTTAGCAGCTTCTCTGCCGTGCAGCCATGCGGAAATTTCATTGTCATTGTAAAATCCCCAAGGCCACGAGAACATTTTTTCCAAAGCTCAGGCTTTGGCCAGCTACGTCGCGATTTACACAGCGATCTACAGGGTTACCACAACACAAACCCCGTGTTTCAAATGTTGTCACGTGTGTATTTGTGATTTACTTGTCTTGTGGTGCCGTCGCTGATGTATTCAGCTGGAGAATCAACAACGTTTATAAGAGCCCGGAAACCAGAGACGGAGTTTGTTTGTTTGTTTGTTGTCTTTTTTTAAAATCCGATTTCAGTTTGTTCACGTGCTGACAATGACGTATGCAAGTCGACTTTGAACCCATTGTCGAAACGGACCGTGAGCTTACATCCAGGTGGGCCATGGAACTGTCACGTGATAGACGGCTCTGTGGCAGACGAGATAGGATTCAAGGTGAAGCCCTGCGTCCCCCCAACTTTGACCTTGCGGAATTAGGCTCAAAGTTTTCCAGATGCCTGTACTATTGTACACAAACGCTGTTGTTGTATTGTTCCTCTGGGAAACAGAAAAAATGGTATCAGCTGTTCTTTAGTGCACACAGTTCTGTTGACACGAACAGAAACTTAACGAATTAATAAATATATATTAAATCTTGTCCGTCTAATCACAATAAATTCTTATTAAATATTAAAATATTACATTAATTAACATTTAAAATATTTAAAATATTAAATGATGTTCTTTATCGAAATATTCGATTTACATTAGACCATCATTTTTCATTTGAAATATTAATATTTTAATATTTAATAAGAATTTATTGTGATTAGACGGACAAGATTTAAACAATATATATTTATTATATCACAATATGACGCAACTTTACCATCTCATTAACGAATTAACTAACGAACGCGAGTCCTGTTTGAACGATGTTCGTCTTCTGTTCTGTAACGGCGTGTAGACACCAACGTTTCCGAGAAACATACTGTCTCCATTTTCAGGGTTACTGCAGCCCTGAAGACGAAGACAGCAATGATCTCCACCTGCTGCCTAACGCTGTCGAAACGCCCAACCATTACATATTCACCTTGAAGATGGCAACTGAAATTGTTTTCGAAACGTTGGATAATTTTTAAACATTCCACACGGCTCATCCCCCGCTACAACCCAGAAGACAGTCATCTTAGTTCCACTATCATTAAAGTGGGGTCTGTATGTCTGTCTGTCTGTACAAGGCAGGTCCCAACACAGAACATGTCGGTTATATATTTTTACTATTTCTTACGTTCTGGTTTAGGGTTTCTCGCGTTGTCCCGTGTCACGCGGCCCCTGTGTTGGGAACTCCAGCGCCCTGTGATGGCAGAGAGCGTTTGCTGTTGTGTGGATGAATTTTTCATACTTCGCAGGTAGCAAGCTGCTCGGAATGGGCGTGTTCTCCTTCGGCCCCTCCGCAATCGATATGTGGATCACGCGGAAGTCACCCCACGTACACGGCGAGGGTGCCTGCCCCTCTCGAGTGACGGAACACGTCAATGAACCTGCAGGTTGTCGGCTATGAAAAATCGGACTAGGAACGCGTGGTCTTGCCCCCAAGGCTCGCTGGCTGGCGTGGACGCCGAGGCGAAAATAGTATTAGCTTCTGCTCGGGGTCGAACACAAGCCACCCGGTTCATCCGCTGCCCTTTCGTGATGTGCTGCATTGTAATGAAAGTCCTTCCAGTAATAAGATAGGATTCCATGCTATTGCTGGTCGCTGCTTAAACGATGCCTCACGTACTAAGCGTTCACCATAATAACAAGGATGTTATGAACAGTGAAAATTACGAATATGCTTATTATGACATTTTGTCCAGCCTCGTGTTAATTTCTCTGTATGTTATGGCTCGGTCGCCTGAGCCTCCTTTATTCGATGGGACTACACCGGATGAAGGCAAGGTGCGAGAGGCTGTGTCTGCATCTTTCCATTGTCATCCCAGACCAAATAACTTCTGCAGCTTGAAGGAAGGGGTTTGAGGCATGGCCTTGTTTGCTGCTGTTTCACAACTACGCCGGCTTGACGTGATGTAATCAAACGTGACGACAGGTAAATTGTCTAGTTTCTACGTTTAGTAAGACAATGAGACTATTATGAGCTTGTTTATCGGATACCTTCAGGGCAGATTCTGTTACAGCGACTCTAATATCGTAATGAACTAATTAACTCGACTAGTTAATGTGCGTGCAAGACAATATTAAATATCTGAGGCCGAGGCTCATCTAAATAATATATAAAGATTTAGTCCGTACCGCAAAGAAGACACCACACTTCACCATTACGAAGATCAACTGGTTAACCCCTGAAGCCGAAGCTCGTCTAAATAGCATTTAAGAATCCAGTCCGTACCGCGAAGAAAACACAACGCTTCACCATTACGAAGATCTGGAGCACATCCGAGGGGCTGCCTTTTACGCTAACTAATATTGTATAAACTCTGGGGCTCGCGATGTCTACGGAATGGATATTCTGTACACACTGACATGCGGACTGCATTCGATAAGTACAGAGCCTTGTTCACAGTGAGCCGATGGGCATTGGGAATTTCATCAGTAATCAAGGGATGAACAGGACATGTAGAAAGTTTTGGAGTGAATAGAAATGCACACCAAATTTTCGTCCTCAAGTGTGAAGAACACATTACGGGAAGATAATATTAAAATGGATCGTGGATAAATATGATGTGAACGTGGTGCTGAATCTTGGGCTTCCATAAAAGTAAAGAAGTGAGAAGTGGAGAATTGTCGGGGAGGACGTTGCGGAGTTGGCTATGACCGTCGTCAGCCTCTTGTGATTGGCCGTCCTACTGAGAAGCGCCACGCAGCGGGAAGTAATTAAATCTCCGTGGTAAACCACGAAAGAATTTTCTGCGCTGACGAACACAGACAAGTTGCAGTCTCTTCAACTCTTGAGTTTTCGAGTGACTGAATTTTAATCTACGTCGTAACTGCAGTCAGGAATTCGTTTGATCTTAAAAATTAGCAATTTTTCTGAGTCAACACGGGCAGGGTGTTAACTAATGCAGGACGTAGATAATGAACAATTAACTAACGGAATTAATTAGCATTAATAACAGAACGTCATGTAATTACCGAAGTTGCAATGACGTTTTTCGTTTCGCTATTGTAATTAGCAATAGTTAAGGCTTACGTCTGTTTTCATAATGCCTTCTTCACGATTTTAATAACTCTAATGACTTGCTGTTCACTTATGAAACACGAAGTTTCACCATTGTAAATGGACAGATTTGCATTGAGTTTCTATAGCAAGGAACAAGTTAATTTGTTGTCTCGATAATATATTAAGAGGATGATCAGGCCAACTGGGATCAGATGGACGGGCCATGTAGAAAGCATATGTGAGATGATAAATGCGAACAAAATTTTTATTGGAAAACCTGAAGGGAACAGACTGCTTGATTTAATTGGAATGCCAGTGGTAACAAAATTCAGCCAAACAACCACCTGAAGATGGCAGTACAACGAATTTTACATCTTTTTTTAAACGCGTATACACGTAACACTATGGGCGTTGCCAATGTGACATGTAGTGAATCAACAGGTGTCGCAAACTTTTAGATTACTATTAAATTAAATTATGTTACCGGCTTAAGGGCCAGACTGTGACAACGTGTGGACAGAAACGTCTGCGCATAATTCTGAGCTGTACCACCTTCATATCTTGAGACAATCGCATTAATGACAGAGCAAAATTAAACCCTTTGGACCTTGCATGTGTGGAACCCCACATTCCGTTCTCCATTGTTCATGAGACATTGTGGTCACGTGTTCCTCGTTTCCGCGCTTCCCATAGTAATGCCATTACAATATATACAGGGTGTTCAATCGCTTCCTGTGTTTCGCGTCTGCAAAAGTAAGCGGAATTGAACGAGAGGGCAAAGTAGTTGAGTAAGTTTTCAGCGTCCGCTGCGCGTTGAAATCTCTAACCTGTTCAATGATCGCTTAGAAGAAATTATGTTCTTGAAAAGATCGGAAATAGAAACATATTGAACAGTGAATACGTCGCCCTGATGATGGAGGCAGTAAGCACTTCTGAAACGTCAGTTTCTACCAGAGTAGACGATGCGAGATCTCAGAGGACAGCCGTCTTCATATCGTGGATCATACGCGTGAAATTTTTAAAGATCACTCTGTATAACACATTGGTCACGTCTGCTCATAAACTGAGGGGCAGATGAGGCGACCACCCAGTTTCTATTCAATTCATGAATTTTCAACTTGTTTCCCTTTAAATTATGGGTTCTGAACCTGTGGTTCGAGAGTCGCGTACTTTCTAAGTCGGACACTGTAGAGTTCTTTTATGAATTTCTTCCTATTGAAGTCTACAATAACATGAGTTAAAGATCGTCCCTGTCTTTATAGAACTTTATGCGCGGTTCTATAAGGCTTGTCGGTTTATTCGTTGGATATTTAACAACTTTGTTTCAACTACACCACCTGCTCTTCGCATGGAGCTCTGTTCCGTGCGATAATAATGGGGCTAAATCTAGCAGTGTTATCGCCATTTTGAAGTGGTCGAACAATTTATCAACAGAGGTAATATCAGATTACATCAAATACATTTTCTCGTTTTTGGACATATTTTTATATTTATAAAGAAATCTATGTGTTCAGATTTGTAAGAAGGCATTCGTTGATAATTTTAATGAACCCTGAACATGGAAGCGATACATTCCTCCGCGGTATGACAACTCAGAACACCACCATGGACATTCGGATACGAAGTGCAGCTGAGAACGAACCACGTTTCTGCCGTGTAGACGTCTAGAATGTTACGGCTACATGAAGTTTCTCAGTGCGAGATTCGAACACATAAAGTGTTCGGAAAATGTTACTTACTCGAGTTTCTGTGAGTCGTGACTCTATTTCATCACCTGCAGACTCTCCAAAGCTCGACCGCCGCTCGCTGGACCACGCACCACAAAGATCACAGCCTCCTCCAACACCAACACCTGCCTGACGCGCGATCTAGTCGCGACTGACTTGACTACTCGGCCAAGCAACGAGCCAGGAGGCTCTGCCTTCGTCACGTGACGTGGGGAAACAGGCCCGCTAATGAAGGGGTTCGCACGCGACCGCCTGCCATGATTCATATTATTCTCACCCCCTCCGCAGTCGGTATAATAGTGTTTTCATGGGGGACAGGTGAGCTCCATGCACGAACAGGAATATTTGCGGGGCGCTGGAACCCCGGTACAACGTATCTTCGGGATTTTACGTGCCCCATTGGATTTAATCTGCTTTTGCTGTTACAAAGCCATCGTTATAAAGTTAATCACGTGAAAGATGGCGCTTCTAAAGTGTTTCGAAATGAAAAATGGTTGGAGTAAAATTTGTGAATATTAATGGAATTTATATTTGTCCCAGAGTAGACGATGCGAGATCTCAGAGGACAGCCGTCTTCATATCGTGGATCATACGCGTGAAATTTTTAAAGATCACTCTGTATAACACATTGGTCACGTCTGCTCATAAACTGAGGGGCAGATGAGGCGACCACCCAGTTTCTATTCAATTCATGAATTTTCAACTTGTTTCCCTTTAAATTATGGGTTCTGAACCTGTGGTTCGAGAGTCGCGTACTTTCTAAGTCGGACACTGTAGAGTTCTTTTATGAATTTCTTCCTATTGAAGTCTACAATAACATGAGTTAAAGATCGTCCCTGTCTTTATAGAACTTTATGCGCGGTTCTATAAGGCTTGTCGGTTTATTCGTTGGATATTTAACAACTTTGTTTCAACTACACCACCTGCTCTTCGCATGGAGCTCTGTTCCGTGCGATAATAATGGGGCTAAATCTAGCAGTGTTATCGCCATTTTGAAGTGGTCGAACAATTTATCAACAGAGGTAATATCAGATTACATCAAATACATTTTCTCGTTTTTGGACATATTTTTATATTTATAAAGAAATCTATGTGTTCAGATTTGTAAGAAGGCATTCGTTGATAATTTTAATGAACCCTGAACATGGAAGCGATACATTCCTCCGCGGTATGACAACTCAGAACACCACCATGGACATTCGGATACGAAGTGCAGCTGAGAACGAACCACGTTTCTGCCGTGTAGACGTCTAGAATGTTACGGCTACATGAAGTTTCTCAGTGCGAGATTCGAACACATAAAGTGTTCGGAAAATGTTACTTACTCGAGTTTCTGTGAGTCGTGACTCTATTTCATCACCTGCAGACTCTCCAAAGCTCGACCGCCGCTCGCTGGACCACGCACCACAAAGATCACAGCCTCCTCCAACACCAACACCTGCCTGACGCGCGATCTAGTCGCGACTGACTTGACTACTCGGCCAAGCAACGAGCCAGGAGGCTCTGCCTTCGTCACGTGACGTGGGGAAACAGGCCCGCTAATGAAGGGGTTCGCACGCGACCGCCTGCCATGATTCATATTATTCTCACCCCCTCCGCAGTCGGTATAATAGTGTTTTCATGGGGGACAGGTGAGCTCCATGCACGAACAGGAATATTTGCGGGGCGCTGGAACCCCGGTACAACGTATCTTCGGGATTTTACGTGCCCCATTGGATTTAATCTGCTTTTGCTGTTACAAAGCCATCGTTATAAAGTTAATCACGTGAAAGATGGCGCTTCTAAAGTGTTTCGAAATGAAAAATGGTTGGAGTAAAATTTGTGAATATTAATGGAATTTATATTTGTCGAAGATGGCTGTCTTCTGGTTTGGTGCCCCTGACCTGAGGCAACGTCTTCATGCTGATATTTGATGAACTAGACACTCTTTTGTCTCAAACTGGTGCTGTAAGTGTCGGTATTCCTCACAGCAGTAGCCACAGAATTTTTGATGGGAAAGCCTTTTCATTTGAGACAAGCAGAGGATAGTATCATATCTCGACGCTTTGCGCCAGTAACTTTGCAACAAAGCCTAACTTTCGACGAAAATGTAAAAGAAAACAACACGTTTTTGTACTAAGTAAGTTGTCTCAGCTTCATTAAGACATTAAATTTACTTGCTGAAACTTTTGCGTTAGAGCGGCAGACCCCGTGCTAGTACGGCAACTTCTCCGACTCCGCTGTGACGCTTGTAGTCTAAACAGCAATCTGCAGGCGTTTCACTGTCTTCACTCGCAGAACAGACTTTATGGAGCATTTGTTCAGTTTTCTTTGTCGATGAGTCACATACCAAGAGAACTGTGGCGAGTGTTGGACAAGACGCGTCAGACGAAGACCTTCTTAAGAAGCTAATAGTAGCTCAGCTTGTCAAGAAATCCTCCGTCTGTTATGGAACTCGACGATTCCTTACCGCGAGGCCGCCACTGGTGCTCGTCCTAAGACAGATCCGTGTTAATAATAACCCCCATCTACGTCTACATATTTATTGCACAACTAATATTGGGCAGAATTAATCTTGCATCGTGTAATTTCTTAGAAATTGACCGATGTTTCAGAGGTGTTTTCTGCTTACATCATCAGGACGGTAAACATATCTGAAAGTCTGTCAATGATCATATTCGTCCTTTACCGTGCTGTCTTGAGCCCGCTCGCAACCGATCCCTGTCCTAAGCCAGATAAATCCAATCCGACGAGATTCCCTACGGTCAGGTAGAAAAGTCTCCGCTTGTGGCTGACACCCGAAGCGCTTCTGCGGCAATTGAGGAATTGCTGCAGATAAAATGTCAGACTGGTGGCTTGAACTCATTCTGCTATCTCACATCTGAAATCATATCAAATAATTGAAAAACACTGATATCATCATTCCATCTGAAAGCGCCGTTCGCGTTCTTCAAATGGGACAGATAAGTTGGGGGCACAATAGGAGTGACAGCAAAACAGCAGATAAAAGTAACTTAGGCTTTCAAACGTCTTACACGAAATGAAATCACGCAAATTAAAATCTCTTGTCCCCCCCCCCCTTTCTTATTCCCGTTCGGTTTCATTTTTAGCATCTCTCGCTGTTTATCATTCTTTTTCCTCCCTTCTTCTTTATAATCCATTACAGTATTTATTTTTCTTTTGTTTGTCTATTCATTGTTTTTCGTTACATTATCTTTCGGCGTCCATATTTATCTCTCTCTCTCTCTCTCTCTCTCTCATGTTTCTCCGTCTCGTTCTTCTTGCTTCTCCTTTATCGCTGTGTCATTATTCCTACCTTTTATCTCTTTCACCGGGAACCTCAGCACCTCTTCGCGATATAAAGACTCGGCGATCGGGCGAGCATCGTCACTGCCTTGACGTGTGGACGGACACTCAAAGGCCTCATTCGGTGTGCGTGGCTCCCGGTGGATTAGTGGTGCTATCTCACAGGTAAGTGCAGGCTGTTTCGCAACGATGGATCGCCCGAAGACACAGAAAGTTCTCGCTGAAAATGTGTGGTCAGAGTGATACACGAAGCGTGTGTGTGTGTGTTTTAATTCGAAGGCTGTTTACTGACGTTCAATCAGTTACGAAGTTTATTTAGAGCGGAATATTGAAAAGTTGTTTAAGTACTGTGATTGCTGGATATGAAAATTCGTGATTGAGTTAAAGAGTATGAAAAAATTGGGGCATGTAGCACGCATGGGGGGGGAATGATAAATTCGTGGAAATGGTCGGAAAACGTCAAACGTCTTTCATGAATTCCGAAACTAGATTACCGATTTCACGATATCGCTCTATTTGGCCCTGAACTGAACCAGTTATATCCTGTTCACGGAGTTTAAAAAAAAAAATTAAGGGCCTGATGTGTTTTGAAAGTTTGAGGCTGACGGCAATCTTAGGGTTCGGATTTGCGACACACACGAAAGCAGGAAACGAGGCACTCGGCCGAAATTCTGATATTATTAACCGTTTAAAACCCAGTGGTAACTATATGTACCACCTACTTTAACAGTCAGTGACTCATTATTTTGCCCACACACTGTGTTCACAAATTTCGTAAGATTATCAGCGTAACCAGCGATTATTTCCTTAAACAGCGTTAATCAGTCGATCTTTGTAATGGTGAAGTGCGGTGTTTTCTTCGCGGTACGGACCGAATTCTTAATATTTAGGCGAGCTTCGGCTTCATTCCGATCAAATACTGTAAGACCTTGCTTAGCTTCGTAAATATAAATCCCAAAACGTCGTAAATGAGGATCGTCGTAAATCGAACCGTTGTTAATACGAATCGTCGTAAACCGGACCGATGCAAATCCGGAGAGTGTTACACGCAGAGTATCGTAAATTGATGCCCGTCGGCCCGAGCCCACAATGAGTCCGTCATTCTGACGTGGTTCGTCTTTTCCAGAATGTCTGCCGCGACCAAGATCACGTCATTCGTGGCGCCAACAAGCGGGGGAGGGGGTGCGAAGAGCGGGACGACGGCGACGTCGATCAAGGGACGCCGGGGGACGGTGTACCACCTGTCGTCCACTCTCGAGGAGCAGAAGAAGAAAGGCACCAGGACGTTGGACGACGTGAGGGTCAGGAGGCGTTTCGCCAGCGGCAGGGACCTCCTGTCGCCCGCCGGCATCCTCAAACTTCTCGTCATTGTAAGTTCAGTCTTCGGCATGCTCTCGTACAGCAAAAATGCATAGGATTTTGGCTCCTCACGGCTTTCAGTCCGGAGATGGCGGTCTTCTGGGTTGTAGCCCTGATGATGGAGGCAAGAAAGGCCTCCGAAACGCTGGCAAACTTCTACCAGACTAGTACACGGCGCTAGAACCAAGAGGACAGCCATCTTAGTACAAACCGTGTCGCGTAAAGTGACGAACGTCTTATCAAAGCCGCCGGAACACATCCACAAAAGGAATTAACGTGACAGCCTCTCCGCCCTCTTGACGGGCTGTCAGAACTTTGGCGTGATAAAGGAAAATGCTTCGCGGAGGGGCGGGGCAAGGGGAGGGGCTGTTATCAGTTACAGTCACTTGTGCGGGCCAAATTTCGTTGATGAAAGTTCACGCGAAGTTTACTTTGAATTTAAGTCACTTATAATATCTTTGAATATATTTAAACGTACGCTACACGTCATACAAGGATTTGGTGTGTAAATGTGTACGGAAAGTAGTCCTTATCACAAGAAGGCCAGCTTGAAAAACGCAAATATCCATCCAGGTTGCAACTCAAATTAAAAAAATAAAATCAAACGTTCCACAAAATCATTAATTCCTGGAATTGGCAACAGATTCCGATTGCTTCCGTCCGAAACTTCTAATCGCCGCCTTATCTCCACAGATAATCTTTCTGATAGCCGCGACTTTGTTCCTGACGTCGGACTCGTGCCCGGGAGCGCCCTCTTGGTACACATGGCTCTTCCCTCTGGCCAGTCTGGTCGCCTTCATTTCCACAGCCTTCCTGTACACGATGTTCATGCTTGGCATGGCGGAAGACAGCCCGAGCCTTTGGGTGAAACTGGTAATTTGAAAATATCGCAGGTTTCAGTAGTTCATTGCTAACTAAATGTCGATTCTTATTCGATATTTTTTTTTCTAGCTGCCCGTGGACGAAAGACAATTTGAAAATATGACGTTTTTTAATCGAACTGCAATAGATAAAATTATGGAGAAATTATTTCCTTTGAAATTATTCATTAAAGTAACAGGTATTGGACAGATTATTTCGTGAGCAGTCCGTAGGTATATTTAATTGTTACAGAAATTCTCTTTTTTGGTCTAGAATCCGAAATTTGATCGTCTTTGTAGGAAGTATTCACAACTATTCCATATTTTAAGTAAATTCTATTTCATCTTCGTAAATATTATAAGAAAGAATACACGTCAAAAATGTCGTCATCCTGAAAGTGATTCGATACTTTAATGGCGCTGTATCCGCAGGATTTGGCTTTCACGTTGTCGGAGGCTGCAGCGATAATCGCCATCTCGATCATCACAATTACCGAATGCAAAACCTCTCATCTGAGCAACACAGTACTCGGGGTAAGTGGTGATATCGTATCCTATACTATGTTGATGATACGAGCTGAAATTTTTTATAACACGGCATAATGACCTTGAACCTTTGACCCTTTGAGTTGTGACCTTGTAATGTCCTTCTAAACAAAATTAAATCTTGTCTATTTTCTATCGTGCCTAGTTTCTGAGCTATAGGAACCGCCCACACCGAGAATCGAACCCGGTACGTTTTTTCGGAGTTTTTACCGTGGTATACTGTGTTCCTGGTCTCAAGTATTAAGCGTGCCAAGTTTAGTGAAAATCGGTATATCCGTTCTCGAGCTACAAGCGAACAAACATACAAATCATAACTAAAGGAAGGCATCCGCCATTTCAACTCTAAATTTTAAGATAAGTAATTATTTTAAATTGTTGTGCGTTAATTTGTTAGGTTTTCCAATAAAAGTTTGTTTAAGCGCTAAATTATATTTTCCCGTTTTAATTTGTTAGGTTTTCCAATAAAAGTCTGTTTAAGCGCTAAATTATATTTTCACGTCATTCTTGACTGCTGGGGGTGTACAGAAGAATTTTTTTCCAGCGGCCATATTTGCTGCGATGCTCATTTGTTTATTGCAGCCTGTCGGTCTGGCCGGAGCAGCGCTGATGGCGATGAGCTCTGCGGCGACGTACATCATGTGGCGATATCGCGAACAACTGTTGCCCGACCAGTCCCAAGTAGCCGGCACGGACGGACAACAGATGCCGCGCGTGTCGGTATTCATCTGAGCGCCAGATCATCTGTGGCGTTCGTTGTTCGGCCACGGACGTTTACGCTAAAAGTTGTAATGAGAAAAGACATTACTTAGCGCACGAGTGATATTCGTTTGTTGTTAACCTATATTATTGCATATCTTTGTACTGAAATATAATTCGTTCTTTCTTGAGTCGCGTATTATATCGGTGATACTTTGTAATTTGTACCTGTTATTTCAGTGGTCATTTTCAGTCACTTCTGTTGGTGCGTGAGTGTACAGATATTTTTTTTAAAATTCTTGTTCTCTGCCATAACTAGGTTATGTTATCTAATGCCAGTTCTGCGGGTAATTTTTGTTTAAACAGAAGAACGCGTGATTAATCCAGAATTTATTTCTGAGTATTAATTTTTTTCAAATAAATCAATAAAGAGATGGGAAAACGTGAGAATTTACGTTCTCAAGGCTACGAGTATGAAGATGGCTGTCTTCTGGGATATTGCGTCGGATATTGACCGATGTTTCAGAGGAGGTTTTTGCTTCCATCATCAGGATGTAGAGACGTCAGTCTGTATCTACCAGACTACAAAGATCATGTCCCAGAAGACAGACGAAGGCTTAGGGCTTTTAAGCGTGTCTAATTTTTGATGTAATGCTCGAACAAATGTAAAATACGTAAATGTGCGTAATTGGCTACGTGTTAAAGGTTGTTACCCTTTTAGGGCAGACATCTTGAAATGTCGCCTTGCGTGTCTCAGAAGAAGCTGGAGTCTTTTTAAACACTCCCCATACCAAATCCCACTCTTTGACGCTACCTGATCCAGTGTCATTTAATTATTTTATTTGCAGGTTGTCCTACGAAGTTTAAGTATCCGTCATGACTGAATATTTTAAATGTAAGTGACATTTTGTGAGGTCTCGGTTCTTTGAAGCCAGAGAGAGAGGAGATAGTGAGGGGGGGGCGGTCACGATAAGCAACACATTTAAATGAGGGGGTATCAATTAAATTTATGGCTACGAAGGTCCCCAGGCAATGCTCGCTCGTCCTTGTGGTAAAGGTAAGTTTAGTGAAGATAAGGCTTTTAAAGTGGATCAAGGTTGGAAGTTGATCGGTTTCTAACTGATTTCGTGCTGAATTCTGAATATTTTAGTGTTTTCCACACATGCTACGGCTTACCGGAAGGCTTACGTCTCTGAAGGCCAATCTTCCGGCAAGAACCGGAGCGTGTGTGGTGAATTTGGCCCGGAAATCGATCCTCCGATAAATCTGCAATAGCTTGAATTTTTGGCTCGAGGTTCATTGGATGTTCACAAGCCGGAGCGTGCGTGTCTGTTAATTCTCGTCCCACTTTTTTTTTTATCCTCGATCCACGCAATGAGATCATTGATACAGCATTCCAAATATTTTATCTGTCGCACTTAGTTGTGACAAGTTAGATTATCTTGATAGCGCGTCAACGGGACTTGGGACTTGTAAGTGCACATCGTGTTAACATGAAACTGATCTCGAAAGACAAGTGAACATCCTCTTGGAAGGAATAAAAACATCGCGATTTTTTGTACACATTATTCAGACAGACTGATTTGTGTTGGACGAAATGGCGCTACCCTTCGATTTTCCTCTGTCAGAATCATTCCACCGCTGCTCCATGTTCACTCACGTATCATCTGGGGGTTGGACAAAGGGGCCATTAGAGGCCGAAGCTCCACAGAGACGTGTTCTTGGCCCCCATCGCAACAGTACACGAAGTTTTGATCGGATTCTATTTAAATGTAACAACGGAGGTTTATTCGTTAAATTATACTTTGAATTTATCCCTTCGATTTTCCTCTGTCAGAATCATTCCACCGCTGCTCCATGTTCACTCACGTATCATCTGGGGGTTGGACAAAGGGGCCATTAGAGGCCGAAGCTCCACAGAGACGTGTTCTTGGCCCCCATCGCAACAGTACACGAAGTTTTGATCGGATTCTATTTAAATGTAACAACGGAGGTTTATTCGTTAAATTATACTTTGAATTTATTTGAAGCCAAAATCAGATTTACGTTTTCTCATAAATGATTTATTACGCAACAAATCGGCACGCGCTGTAAAATGTGAGATCTAGGCCTGTAAATTTAGTCTGGGTCTGGCCAATCGACAATCTGCGTGCGTATTTCAGCTGTGGTAAGTTCAGCCTTGCACGAGAAATTGATTAGTGAGCGGTGAGGTTATGGAGACGCTACGTCACATAACCTCAATGCAGCCTTAGGACTCGTCCGAACTGCCCGCAAAGTTCCAGGTCAGCAAATCGTATTTTTGCGACGGAATTACAGTGTTACAGGTAAAACTCTTTTTAAATCTGCAATTTCACCGCAAATTAACCTGACAGTTACTCAGATCCTCAATAAATTCCCCACCTTACTGGACCCCGAACGTTCATTATCGTATTCACAACAGCCCCCCACTGGTCCCTGAAGAATCACTCCACACACTCACATCCTTTTTCTGCAAAATTGATCCACACCTTGATATCCAAAGTTGGTGTCTGACTAAAATTTTTATTGGATTCTCTTATTCCTATGCGTGCTACATGTCCCGCCCATTGTATCTTCCTTTGTTTTTATTCTAGACAATAAATTACAAAGGTCCTCATTAGCAATTTTCTCCAACTTCCTTTTCCTCCTTCCCGTCTAGGTCCAGATATTTACCAAAAATGTTGTCTGTCTCAGTCGATTCTGTCATCTTTCTTGAGGGGTTGGGTTCTTAACCTTTTAAGGCCCTTTCTTATCATCTGCCAGGTAACTGGTTATAAATGAGGTCAATTTACTGTACGTTGTTAAAAATTCCAGCGACTTCTGCAAGCAGGGTGGCGCATCTCTCAATAACTTTATTTAACTTCATTTGTAGTTTTTACTGACTGATCTTTAACTTCAGGAATATTTTTTTTGTATGTGATGACGCAGTGGTACAAAAATGTGCACTCGCTGCAAAAAGACATTTTGGCGGCTTGCGTGCATCCAGCAGGCCATGGGTTCAGGACTGTCATAATTTATCTGTTTTCTTCTAAAGGTGTTCACTACAAAGCTGATAAAGAAGAGTGTAAAATGTCTCCCGCCACTGATCCGGGCTGCGTGTGTGTGTCAGAGGCAGAGGAGGTTGGTGACAGCTCCACGCAGTCAGATTCCTCTGAAGAGGACGATGAGTTAAGATGGCACAAGATGGCAAAGGGGTCAGATGTCCCTTCAGAATACTGGCACATTCAGAAACTCATCAAGTACATGAAGGTTGGGTCTGGTCTCCGGTGTCGTTTAAGAGAGATCACAATTTCAGAAATTTTTTTTAGCCAACTTCAACAAGCTGTGTTTCTATGGTTACAGGCTGGAAACCAGACGGCTACCATCGTGTCGCTGTGTTGTCTCAAGGACCATGACCTCACCACAGAGATAAACCAGACTGCCATCAGGGATATCGGTGGCCTTGAAGCACTGGTAAACCTCTTGGAGACCGATGACATCAAGTGTAAGGTAAAACATGCGGCCTCACCCGCGCTCTAAACCTTTCTGCGGAAGCGAGACAAGTCTGTTCTTTGATGATTGTTGTGTTCAGTTAGGCTCCCTGTCAGTTCTCAGCGAGATCTCGCAGAACGCAGACATCCGCCGTGGCATCACCGATCTGGGAGCCGTCCCTATTCTGGTGATCATCCTCTCGGACCAAAGCAGGGACCTACAGATCCTGGCAGCTGAGACAATAGCTAATATTGGGAAGATCCGCAAAGCAAGGCGAGCTATCAGGAAGTGTGGTGGCATACCAAAACTGGTAATTATTCTGCCTTTGTCTTCTACTAAGGTCAGAACTCTCTTAGGGCCATTAATGATTTAATATCAGTAAGAAGATGATTCACATTCAGAAGGCACCAGAATCAGACCATATCTGAGATTTTGATGCCCTGATTCAGGTTTCTTGTGGTTTTCCTTGGTTCTTGCGGGCAAATGCCGGAATGACTGCTTCAGATATTAAGTGATTTCTGCTTAACTTCCGTTTCGTCATCATTTAGCTAAATTTTATTCTGTGTTGAAGTAACTGAAGGTTATGTCATTTAACGAGAATATTTCGTCTAATAAAAGATACAACTTGAATTTCAGCACTTGCGTAAAGACGGTCGACCCAAGCAGTTATATAGACTGTCTTTAACTAACCTAACTCAAAAGTGACCTGCACTTTTACAACTGAATATTGCAGATAATAGGAAAGGTCCCTAGATGGAGATGAGCCATCATTTTCGCACTTCTTCATAGTCATAGAAACTGGCTGACATTTTCATGGAGATGAGCCATCATTTTCGCACTTCATCGTAGTCATAGAAACTGGCTGACATTTTCTTATGAGACTACATGACACACCATCTCAAAAGACAGTCATCTTCAAGGAAATATTCCAGGTGGACCTGCTGGATGTCAGCAACCATGCCCTCACTACACCATTCAGCCAGCTGACCCCGCAAGACGAGGAGGAAGTCCGAACAGCTCGGGCAGGAGCCAAGGCCCTCTGGTCAATCTCGCAGTCCAAGAAAAACAGGGACACCATGAGGAAGGCGGGATGCGTCCATCTTCTGGCCCGTCTCCTGAAGTCTGTCCACGGGGATGTGGTGGTGCCCGTAATGGGCACACTGCAGCAGTGTGCTTCGGAGGTAATTTGCCTCCACGTGGTCAAAATGAACTGGGGTGCTTCAGTCAGTAGAGTGAACATTTAGACGGATGAAATGACAATGTGTCCGGCTAAGAGACGTACTGCGAGATATTTTGTTCATTTCCAGAATGAATACCAGCTAGCTGTCCAAACAGAAGGTATGGTTGCGGACATGGTACATCATCTCAGAAATGACAACAGGGAGCTCAAAAAGCTCTGTGCCTCAGCAATATTCAAGGTGAGTAAAGTCACAAGAATTTTATGTCTTCGTTAAGTGGAAGTTTGAGTATGAGACAGTCTCAACCGGGCATTACAATGTTGTGAGGACTGACGAAGTAATGGTTATACGTCAATGTTGGCCTTCTGATTTGTAACACCACGTGGACTTATAGGTAGGTACCAATTTTAATGGTTACATGTTTACTTAACCCAACATTTCTGCCACTGCAATGGTCTTATATTAAGATCTGAGGTGTCGCCACGGTGGTCTAGCAGTTAGAACGCTTGTAATACTGGGGTCCTGGGTTCGATTCCCGGCGGTGATCAGATTTACAACTTGTGTTGAGTCAGGCCGTGGTCCAGGCATCACGGAGTTTTCCTCCGGGGTTTCCCCGGTTTCTCTGTGTCATCCCAACAATTACTCCACTTTCATCATCATTTCGCAAAAACGGGGTCACAGCAGGAGCGTTAAATGTCGCGGTCCCGGTCGAACCCACGTAATGATGAGTCGTGAATCCTGCTAACCACCAAAGCACACCACGCTGAATGGTGTGTACTGGACACGAAAAAAGAATCTGAGGTTTTCACATCGATGTTTGCTTTGATGCTTGTAGGTTGCTGTGACACATAGTTGTGTACCAACATTTCAGAAAAACACTTTACCTCCATCTTCATGATTAATATTCTGACAGTATGCAGTGCTACAACCCTGAAGACAACCATTTATATACCTGTTATGTATTCAGATTTGTTACTTTTTTCACTTACAACCTGAGTTAATGTATGGGCAAAGGAGAGGGAGGGCATTTTGTCTGCCTACTGATTTGGATGTCTGTTTCAGTGTGCCCAGGACTCTGTGACGAGGGATCTGGTTCGTCAACATGGGGGGCTGGACCCCTTGGTGAAACTGGCAAAGGACATCAGTATCTGGGATGACAAGCCTCTTCTAGCTGCAGTGACGGGTGCCATTTGGAAGTGTGCCATCAGCCCAGAGAATGTTCACAGGCTGGATGAACTAAAGACAATCGACACTCTCGTGTCTCTCCTCAGCGACGAGAATGGAGAGGTAAGCAGTTGGGAGTCTGTTCTTGTGTTCAAAATTATGTTCAGTAAGTTGCTTTAATGTTAGCTGCACTGTTATTTGCACAGGTGCTGACAAATGCTGTTGGAGGCCTGGCGGAATGCGCCAAGTTTCAGGACAACCGAACTGAGATCCGAACCTCAGGAGGCATCCCCAGACTGATCATGCTTCTCAATGGAAACAATGGACCCATGTTAGAGAATGTATGCCGTGTGCTTGGCGAGTGTGCCAATGAAGCAGATTCGATGGACATCATTCAGAACTTGGATGGGGTGCGCCTCATATGGTCACAGCTCAAGCATCCGTCTCCTGCCGTTCAAGCGAGTGCCGCGTGGGCATTGTGTCCATGTATACGAAATGCTACGGTAATGAAACCAACATAATTATTTATACTTTACAGTACCAAGATTAAACTGTATTGAACTGGTTCAGACTTTGGTATTCGTAGTAATAGACATTTGGAGATGATTATAGAATGGAGCTCGTACAAATATTTCTCTGCCTTGTGATAAATCAAATGTTTAATACACACCACTCATGACATTGATTCTTTGTATGTGACATGTCTACCATTTCATGTTTCCACATGCTTTCTGGTAGCAAATCCAAATACTGTGACAGTAACAGAACATTATACAAATGTCTGAAACATGAATATTACTTAGAAACCACAGAAATCACTTAATCGTAACAACCTTGCACCGTAAAAAGGAAGATGTTTCAAAACCTCGATCAAAGCCTTGGACGGACGGACCTAACAGATGGACCGAATGGAAGAGGAGAATTGAGGAGGCCATGGACCGAATATGGACTCGAGAACCATAGAAGAAGAAGAGAAGAGGCATTTTGATACCAGTCAATTTAATTGCCCTTAACATGTTATGTTTCAGGTTGTTGAGCGTGGCTGAGAACATGTTCTGCTGTGTAATCGTACAAGGAACTGAACAAACTCTGTGGAATGTTTTTAGCATTTCTTTAGATTTTCTGTTCTCCCATAGTTTCAAAAGATGATCAGTATCTCTCATATGATGGTTGAACTAATTATAGAGTATGAATTTCCACCAACAGGATTCTGGTGAGATGGTGAGGAGTTTTGTTGGTGGTCTAGAACTCATTGTGAGTCGCCTCAAGTCTACTGACACCAATGTTCTAGCCAGTGTGTGTGCGGCGTTGGCAAAGATTGCTCAAGACAAAGAGAGCTTGGCAGTCATCACCGACCATGGCGTCGTACCCATGCTAGCAGAGCTTGTTCTTACGGTAAGAACTGCAGATCTCGTACTTCCTTAATTTCCGTTCGTCTGAAACTATATTAAGGGGTGGTAGGAAGATGCAGTAGTTGAAAATTATGACTGGAAGTCTGACGGCCATTTAAAACATTGATCTTGTCATTTTCACAACACCAAATTCACTACTTAAACTATTCCCTATTTTTATAATAGTTCTGTTTGTGCTGGCTCAAATGCCAAAATTTTGACGTATGACTATACGTCCTTTATCAAGGCCATGCCATAGCTCAGGCACTTAGTTGCTGACTTCCCTCCACAGGTTTGCTCCCAGGCCATTCCACGTGGGATTTGTGGTGGACAAAGTGCCACTGGGACAGGTCTTTCTACGAGCCAGACCCTTGTGTTACTGTTACTAGTTTATGATATCAAATATTCTGTCATTGGCAGTAAAGTCGTCAGATTGTAGACATGTTTAGTGAAATGCCAATTGACATTAAGCTTTCAGAAGAAATGGGATAATAACACAAAACTTTTCTTCTTCTTATAGTTTAATTTCCATTTCATACCAGTCAAAGGACAAAAGTTTCTTTCATTTTGTAATGATTCTGTTTTGACGTGGTACTGATTGTTGTTATTTCTTTACTGCTTACATCTATCTGACGGTTTCATTCATTTTTTGTCCATATAATGGTTCTCTGCCCCGAGAATCTAGTGACTGGGACTAACTTCATGTAGGTTCAGTTTCCTTCTATCTGAAGCTGGAAACAAAGCCAACCTCTAAAATAATTTACATGATTCTAATCCAGACAGTGGACAAAATATATGCAAGAAATAAAATGGATGATATTGATAATGACGTTGTTGTGTGTAGTTGCATTGTTCACAAATGTGTGCTGTTGTTTGGTGTGTTGCGCCATCACACCATCAGTGCAATATGCCAGTTGGAACAACATATAGGTCATTAGGTTCAGTTCATTTGTGTTGCAGAAATTTCTCATTGCCACTTGGTAGATGTGAGAAACTGAAGGTGAATTCTGTGTTACTATTAACAAATTAAAGTAGATTATTTCACATTGAAAATTCATCTTCATCAGAAACATACATTGTTTGTTGTTTATCCATTTTTGTCAGACTGTTGATATAGGACACATCAGTAAGATATGTGACCCTAAATATATACATATGAATTCAAAATTTGAAGTGAATTTCAATCAGGTTAGTAGAATTTTTAATAAACTGCCTGAAATTTCAGTAAATTGTGTTCATTTATAACCCAGTGGACTGCAAGTCCACAAGAAAGGGTCAGTGAAGCCCCAGGTCTTAAAAGATTGAGAACTTGTGCATTGCACTCTTAACATTAAGTTCAAATTTAACTGCAAGTCCACAAGAAAGGGTCAGTGCAGCCCCAGGTCTTAAAAGGTTGAGAACTTGTGCATTACACTCTAACATTAAGTTCTAATTTTAGGGTTTCTTGAAATGGCAGTCCACATAAATTTGCTCTTGCCTAGAATGTTTAACATGCATTGCTCTGGTGGTGGATGTAATGACACTTTGTCCTTGTGTCAATGTTGTGCTGCATGTTTGTTGCAATGCCTTGTGTGTCTTGTGGTGGTGGTGGCGCCTCTAGACTGCAAGCAGAAACCCGACGCCGAAAACCAGCTCACTACAGCAACACCAGAACAGAGGGAGGAACAATGCCGATAAACAGTCTGGTTATAAGGTTCTACGAGAGGTGACAGTTGTCTCCTCAACATTATATTTCTTTTGTTTCCTTCTTCATATTCTTCTCTGCTTCTCTGTTTTTCCACTCTTAGAGTTCTCAGCTTGCATACCTTCACAGAGTCACTTAGCCATTAAGCACGATAAGAGACCTTGATTTTTGTGCTTCAAAATTATATTTCTGAATATATATCCCAGGTAACTCTCTGAATGGTTCATAGTCACTCAGCTGATTAAAAAATTCTCCACTCTTGTGAAACATGAAGATCTATCAAAAATTTTAATGTCAAGCATCTCTGTATTTTGTTTATATCCTTTATTTTAACATATTCAGATCACTGTAACTTTTTCATATATAATTTATTTAAAAATTTGTAAACCTTGATATCTGCCACCTTCCTTTTAAGTTAATAATATATATTCTTTGGAGTATTTCATTAAACACTCTTTTATTGTAACGAGCCTTCCTTCTTCTAGAAACGTATGTCAGTTGATTATTTTTGTATGCATGCTTATCTACATACTGTATCATTGATGGTCAGTAACAAGGGCATAAGCCAGAACAAGCTATGTCTGACCTACGCACTTCTTACTGATCTCCAAAGAAATGTCTTCTTGCTTGTATATGAAACTATATTCACAGCATGTATTAGGTCATATCATTTATTGCATGAATTTGTATGTATGTCCAATATTCTTGAAGAATTGTTGTTTTGGATTACATACAGTGTAGACATAACCTCAAATATGATTGTCACTTAAACAGTGTAGCTAATGTTTTTTTTCAAACTGTGTGTTAAGTTCTTGTAGAATAGAATTATGGATGTATGTTGAAAGAAATACAGATATTTTAGAGAAATTATAATTTGTATAGACTGGAATAATAAAATACATACTTAGAAATTATAATGTTTGTTGAAATGAGGTTATGAATGTGCATAAGTATCTATTAATATAAAATATGTTATAAACTAAGGAATAAATAAATGAATAAATGTTGTGTCGGATACCAAGGCAGATATTTTATACCCTGGTTCCTCTTTCATGTCTTGGTCGAATAAATAAATGAATAAATGTTGTGTCAGATACCAAGGCAGATATTTTACACCCTGGTTCCTCTTTCATGTCTTGGTTAAGTTTTAAAATGTGGACATTAATGTATTGAAAATGGGTTTACATAATAAGGAAAGAGATGACAACAAAATGTTTTGCTCTTACATTTTACATGTCATCAGTTTCTAGGGAAGGGACCTTCCAATGACAGTGACCAGTGTCAGCGTGTTAGGGTAACTGATTGCTGAACCTGTGCCTAGGACGAAGACATCCTGAAGGAGAACCTGGCTGAAGCTATTGCTTATTGCTGTTCTTGGGGTGTCAACTGCCATGAGTTTGGGTGCCTGGGAGCTGTTACACCCTTAGTAAACTACATGAACTCCAAAGACAAGAGCGTACATCGCACCACAGCCTACGCATTGCATCAACTGTCTGCTGACCCACATAACTGTATCACCATGCACCAAAGTGGAGTTGTACCTGTACGTTTCATGTGGAAACTTAATCGAAGTTCTATTTTAATATTATTCTGCCTAAGTTTTCCTACCATTTCTTGAGTTTTGTGAGCTCCTCCTTCCTGACTTAATCACCCCAAGTTGATGAGTACAAATTTTGAAGCATGTTTTTATGAAATATTTTACCATTCTTCTGATATTTCCTCGATATGTCATAGAACAGGTGGCTAGCCACTGGGTTCTCACTGCAGAGACTCATGTTCATTCCTAGGTGTTTTCATATAAGATTTGTGGTGGATGAAGTGTCTCTACAGAAGGTTCTGTTCTTAGTTATTTGTCTTTCCCTTGTTTTATCACCATTTTACCACGCCCCTGCTTCATACTCATCTGTCATTACTCCACGAGGTGAGTGACACCTCTGACGCAGCATTTGGCTGGTCTCAGAAAAATGGAAGCATTACTTCCATGTTCTGTGTATGTATCCATGGAGTTGTGCTTAAGCACAGGGAAACTTTACCTTTTATTGTTTCTCGACTTTATAAGAAATGTCATTTTGAGTTCCGAAATATTTTGTGTATGTTGTTTATCACTCTGTTTTTCATGACCATTGCAGTTTCTCCTGAAAACCATTGGTTCTTCAGATGAGAAGCTTCAGGAGGCATCTGCTGGTTGCCTCAGCAACATCAGGAAGATGGCACTAGCGACTGAGAACTTCAATTACAAATAATGTGATACGTTTTGCTTCCGTCAAGAGATGTATCCTTTCTTTCAGGAAACGACTTTTTTGAAAAGCGCCAAATACTTCATATTGATGTTAAAATGTTCCTGATTGCTAAGATTTTATATTGTTCGATCTCCAACTATTTATGTGTTCTTGCATTCTAGAATGATTACTGAGTATAAATTGATGCATCAAAATGTTAAGAAAATAATAATGTAATGAAATAGGTATTAATTGTTAGTGTCAAAGCTTGTTCCATCCAGCTACAAAAGATGTCATGCTTAAAATATGAAGTGTCATTTCCCATATAATATTGTGTAATTATTAATCATAACTAGAGCAAAACTGTTTGCGTGATTAACATTTAGAATATATATTGTAAATCCAGTATAAAAAAAACTATTTTAAAGGTAGAGAACAAAGCAGACGTCAATAGCTTGATCGGTAAGATGGACAACTACTATTTCACTTATTTTTATGATTCCTCTTCCTCCATCCAAGATTATAACTATTATAATGCTATCGATTATAACGTACGGCCTCAAAATAAACTATGTCGCTCACATTAAGATAGTTTCAGAGTTAAGTAACTGTTTTTAAAATTTCAATTTATTTTTGTATTTCTCTAAGGCGGCTGATTGTTTTAAAATTCTCAGAAACATTGATGATTTTCTAATGGAAAGTGTTCCCTGAATGTTACGATTGCCAACATGAATTGAGAATTTTAACTTGTAATATTAAAAGTTTTGGATAAGTGACGATATCTGTTCGGAGTAAGTTATAATGTAAACGATAATAAGGATCTAAATGATGTTATTAATTGAAAATTAGGTGTACATGTTTTGCAAGTTCTATTTGTCAGGTTGGCTGTATGAGAAATGTCTGTAAACATCCAGTCATTTCTAAACGAAAGCAAATAAGAAGAAGAAAAAGGCGATTGGCAACTATAATAGGTAATATTGGTACAATCAACTGTGGTACAGGTCAACTGGTAATGTTGTGAAGAAGTGGAAGGGGCAATTTGACTGTGTTATTTTATGTAGAAGCAAGTCGGACGCCGGTTAGATTATACGCGTGTTGTATTGCTATTTTGTTCATTAATCTGGCGAGATACATTTCTGACGATTGTGTACAAAATACTGGGAAGTGGCTTGTCTGTTACATATTAGGAATACTCAAATACAATGGATTTTGATAATTGTCAATCTGTTACTGATGCAGACAATGAAACTCTGTTGCCCCACATTGTTGAATCAGGTCCAGCAAGCCCACAAAAATCTCCAAAAGACAGATTGGTGGATTTATTAGATCAAGTAGAAATTCACGTGGAACGACTAAGAAGAGATGCATTGAAACTGGAAGAAGAAAAAGACACACTTCTGACAACCTTGGACACACTTCGGAATTCGGAAATGATGGTAGAACTAAATGAACGTAAGTACACCTTATTCTTTTTTGGATAGTTAAAGAATACTTATTTAGGACGGTGCTACGGGCCTGGAAGTCCGCCAAACAGTGGCCACCAGTACAATTGTGGAATATTCAAGGTAGTGTAACGTAACGCGGGATTTGTGCATCGTTTGATTAGCGCAGGTAACTTTTCTGTCTTTCTTTCCACTGCAACGGAGAGCCAATTTAACAGTTTTAATGCCTCTGAAAATCGACATTCCTGCCATAATTCCATACGATACCCACTCCACGCGCGCCGTGAGACAACGTCCAGTAGTCAGACCTTTAATTAGTGGAATTCGTACTGACATTAGAAGTCAATCAGAAATTAAATTTGAAACTTATTATGAAATCATGCAGGGCATGATAAATGTGTACAATTATTTCTGTTACGAAGGTTGAACGGAAGAGACCACTTGGAATACCTGAGCACAGGTGGGAGGATAATGTTAAAGTGGATCATAGGAAAAAATTATGGGATTCATCTGGCTCAGAATAGGGATTTGTGGTGGGTTCTTGTTAAAACAAGAATGAACTGAGTAGGATTTGAGGTTATCGTGATGGTGAGTTCAAACATTGCAATCTTCTGGGTTATAGCACTGTGTAGTCTGGTAGAAGTTTACCAGCATTTCAGAGGTCCTTGCTGCCTCCTTCATCAGGGCAATGAGTAATGAACCTTGAGGTTCAGTAAAAGGTAGGAAATTTCTTAACCAGCTGATCATAACATGAGATTCTCAAGGTGGATTCTTTTCTATGAAGTTGGTTGGTTTGCTAACCTTAAACCATTGTAGCTTACCTAATGCAGTTGGCCACTGTTCAAATATATCCTAACGTTTGTTTGACACATTTAGATTTGAGGTAATATACTTTATGTAGAATTACGAACCTGGGTTAACTCTGGTTTATAAGGATGACATAGTTGTTTTCAGTTGCTCTTTGTAAGTGTCACCAGTAACTAAAATAAAGTACCGTGCTATCTTTTGACATAGGTGAACGTGATGATGTGCTCCACCATACAGAGCACATTGCTAACCGGTGTCTGACGGTAGATATCCTCGTTAAGACAACGCGTGATCACACGCAAGAAGATGCATTACATCAGGTGAACAGGTTTATTGACGGTTTGGTGGTGAATCTACAGAGTGACCCATTTGGAACCAAATCACGATGTCTTGCCTTTATGAATGCCTGCTCCTCTCATTCTCATGGTGCGGCTGATAAGAATTTTGAGACTGCCATTTTGGGATGCACGTTAGACGATCAGAAACGAGTGAAGAAACGGCTGCAGGGACTTCTGGATTATATAGACCAAGCAGCACATTTTGGTTAGGTAACAAGTACTTAAATTCCTTTCTTCATTTGAGCTTAATGTGTTAACGTTTGAAGTTTCATGTACACGCTCATGAACATTAGGTGTGTATATTGTTGGTGAAATTTTTATGTTAATTTAAAATTATCATATTCCCTCCTTAATGGATGTACAACTTTAAGCTTACCCCCTCCCAAGCGCCTACATGGCGTCTAGTGGGACAGCTTTACTTCATGGTTTAAAACACCCCATGTTACATAATAAAGTCAGTTCATAAGAGATAATTAATAAACAATCCATTGCTTTAGCTCCTTTATTTTAATACCCAGAAGTGGTATATGTCTTCTGCTCTGCCCCTATTTTAAAATATCGCTCAGGACAGTTTGATTCCTCATACACCAATATATAACGCATTCACTTATAAACCAAATTGCAACTGTCACGGGATGTAATTTTCAAAAATAATATATGTCTTCTGCTCTGCCCCTATTTTTAAATATCGCTTGAGACAGTTTGATTCCTCATACACTAATATATAACGCATTCACTTATAAACCAAATTGCAACTGTCACGGGATGTAATTTTCAAAAATAATTAAGTTGATTTTATTGTTTTTATGGAGTGATACGTGACTTGAATCAAGAAAGTATTGCATTGATTGGCAGTGGGTCATGCAGTTTCTGCCTGGAGCTGAGAAGTGACAGTTTCATTCTGGTTAATCAGTTTACTGCAAAAATTTGAGAATGAAAACATTTACAAAATGGAAAGCTGTTGTTTGCAGGTTCTGTCAGTAAAGTAACAAATTGCAGATTGGAAGCTGTGGGTTTGATTCCTGGCATTCACAGTGATTTTTCCTCTGTGTATGTCCCCACGTGCATTCCATTTCTCGGGCTCGTCCCGCCTCCTGTCCGGGGATGTCGTGATTCCTGGCATTCACAGTGATTTTTCTCTGTGTATGTCCCCATGTGCATTCCATTTCTTGGGCTAATCCCGCCACCTGTCCGGGGATGTCAGGGTGATCTCTTGAGAGACGTATTAAAATAGTCAAGAGTTGAGTCTACCCATTGCTACAGTTCAGAGTGAGCGAGCTTTGCTTCCATGTTCCTTACTTGCCTTCTTAGCATGGTTCTCATGCACGCGGACAAATTTATCATTACCTTTATGCGGATAGATGAAGCAGATAAACGATAAAGTTGTTCCTACACATCTGTTAATTTTGTAAGATATGGCGTAACATTTTGAAAATGGATGAAGTTGATATCAGGACTGCATAAAAAGAAAATACATAATTAAGATGTATTATGTTATTTGGTGTTTTAACTTATAGTAATGGGGCCCATCCCTCATAACAACTGTGAATCCTGCACAGATAGTATGAAATTTGCGATGAGCAGAGTTGTGATGGGACGCGTTTAATTTTAAACTTCTGTTCTTGCTGAAAGTCTTCACAGTGAGACGTTGGCATGCCGTTTGTTGGCACGAGTGTTTCGTGAAGGACTCATTTCTGTGATGTAGCATCTCGGTATGTTGGCAAGAGACATTCCTAGGACAATCGTACAAATGTAAATAAAGTTTTACCTCTGCTCGTTTTTATATCTACCGAGTATTCTCCGAGCTCTTAGATTTAATTCTAAACCGTTATGTTCTATTTGTTTGATGTGTGTGTTATTTTGTACACTTGATTTGCCACGTTCTTGCCTACTTGAGTTCTTGTTGGCTTTTACAGTATGCTATTGTATAACATCTGAATTTTATGTCGGGAACTGAATAAATAATTTATATATATGAATGTAGATACCGAAACGAGCCAACCCCTGGCCTAAGTTCGTCACTGCATTGTGATGATTTTTTTTTCTTCTCTCTCCTTAGAACAGACTGTAGACTCCAAACAAGACAGTTTGACTCTATTTTTCAAATGATGTTTCCTTCTACCAATAGAATTTTAGTTACTTAAGTTGCTCCTTGTTTGTCCTGAAAGTAAATTTGCCTGAACACAGCAATGCAACTAAGTATAATATCATTTAGTAACGCCAGTATTAAGGTGGTTTAGACCTGTTGGAAGGATGGATGGGCATAGACTAGCAAAAGGAGTATTAGAAATAAATATAAGTGGAAGAAGACATGGGGACAGACAACAAACGTGATGAATAAAACAATACGTAGATAGGAATGGGCAGATGGAGACAATTAGACACGCTTATGCAGAATTTGGCAAAGAAGAAGAAGAAGAAATAACGTCACTGTTTCCAGGTTGGGCTGTGCACCTGTTGTGGCTGGTTGTCGGCTGTGGAAATGTGTTCTGATTTCATTTGGGACTCTGCAGATTTGCCCTGTGGATTCTTACACGAGCGTTGTTAGAAAATGGTAGTTGCCGATGCTTATATGAGCAGAAAGTGAATGTGTTTATTGTTATTTAAATACAAGGTTCTGAACTAAAATGCTCATACATTTGAGTGTTTGGTTTGAGACGTCAAGTGTATTCTGCGTTATTGAGCAAGTTCGTCGACTCAGAAAGCAGATGTTAAGTTGTCACACCATGAAAGCTGGCAGAATGGTAAATCTTTGCACGTTCTAGACCGAGCACTAGATGGCAGTAAGTGGGAATTTGTACCCGGTGGCTGCTTTGTGTCTGGACAAGGCAGTGAAGAGAAAAGCACCCTTTCTGTGCTTGTAATGCAGCCTGTAGCAAGTCATTTTATCTGCTCCTGATTAGATAAATTTTATCAAATTTTTCCTCATCAGATGTGTAGTGTTTGGTGATGTAACATGCTTTGTGGTTTAGAAACTACTTGGAAATTTTAATTGCAATTCTGAAGTGTTTGAGAAATTAGATTTCAGATTTATAAAAATGCCTCTGGAACTTAATCTTTCTTAAGAGATTAGCAATTTCTTTTCACTTATTTGGTTTTGAAATTTGAGGTTTTTCATGGTGGTAAGGAAGATGGTGTTCATGGTTTTGGTGCCATGTAGGCTAAGGTAGATGTCAGGATTTCGGAGAAGTACATTCTCTCCATCTTCAGGGCTGAAGATGGAGACAGTATGTTTCTCCAAAAATGTTTGGCGTCTGCCTACAAATCTGCACAGTACCAGAATGCAGATAAAATATCATGTCAACCTTTCATCTCCAAACCATTGTTGTTGTTTTTTGTTTTTTTGTGCAATAACATTTGATGATGTAATCTTAGATTGTTCCACTAGAAGCATTATAGAATTTTGTTATTAAAATATCAAAGATGATTATTCCGCAGTTATTTAGAAGAAAAGTATAAATGTGTCTGCCTGTTCTCAATAAACCTCTGAATATTCATGTAAAATTTCAAAGAGAATGAATCTCTGTGTACAGAAAATAATTTTGCATAAACTGATCACAGTCTGTATAATATAAAAAAAACACTAAGATTTTCCTCTTGGAATTGTTATAGTATTTAATATTTTGTTATGGAAGTCTCCATCTGTTTGTGAGAAAGCCAGTTCATAAAACTTGAATGTGAAATTTTTCATATCTTGGTGCAAAATATATTCTTGTTGGGTTCATTAAAGCATCCATGAAAATGAAGAGTTGTAATGTTATTTACTGCTGGATCACGCTTTATTTGTATGTATCGTATATTTTTATTTTAGTGTTCTGTGTGACGACAGGTCCATATGAACAGGATCCTTCCATCCTTTTCTCGGACTGGGACCTGTTCATATACGTTCTTGGCAGATGATCCAGAAGTGGTTTGCCATTGCCTTCTTCTGTGTGTGAATGGAGTAATTGTTGGGATGCCACGGAGGAAAACTCCGTGTTGCCTAGACCACGGCCTTCGTATAATGAAGATAAATTATTTACAATAAACCACTCCATATAAAAATTACATTGCAATGTAAATACCAGTTAAATTATCAGCAAATGAGTGATGCATGAAATTATGGAGAATTCCCAGTTCAGACAAAATCATACGAGATTCTTAGAGACACTGCACCAGGACTGGAAAGCTGAATGAAACAAGATTTTTGGCTAACATTTGTCCACTTCTAATCTGTTAGTTTTTTTCCCCTCTCTTTAAAATGCTTTAATTTCTGAACCGCGTCCATCCCTTCACCTTTATTTATTGCTTCATAATCATCGCAGTTGATCCTACAATGTTGAACAAGCGACGCAGATTATCTTCCGCGTCTCTCTTGAGTCCCGTTGAACTTGAACGTGCATGAGCATAATGTGGAAAGTTTTTTGTTAGAATCATTAGTGAGCTTGGTTTTTGGCTGTAATTTCATTTGTTTGCAACCTTTGTCCTGTGACACGAAACATTTGTGTCACAGGACAGATAGTGTCTTTATTCATCTCTGAAAACAATTAAGAGTTTTTGTGTGGAATTATAATTCTTGCCAAAGAAATTTAGAAATTAGAATTATGTTGAATGTTTAATGAGTAATTTTCATTCATAATAATGTTGATGGAATATATTTCTGGGCGAGAGGAATGGCAGACCCATTAAGAAGTTTGTTGCTTTATTGTGTTTAAGCTTCAAACATCTCACCGTGACCTTGAAGAATGGGCGTGGTGTTAAAGAAACTTGTTCAATTCTTTTGACATGAAAGCCTTATGCAGTTTTAGTGTCTCCATTGCGCAGACAGTTTTCCTTAACCTTCTCTTTAGATTGACAGTTGGTTTTTGTGCATTCCGTACCAGGATGTGATATATTTTTACTAGATTTGTCGTCTTGTGATATGGTGCGAACTGGTAAAGAAGTGTGTTCAAAGACTGTTCATTTCTTTTATTTTCTATGTCTGACTTCCTGTGTCCAGTTATTTGGTTTTATTTGTACACTTTATTAAAGTTTTTTACCTCAGATTTTCGTGTTGTGAATTATTATCCTGTTACTGTTCGTTTCTGCCCATTGTAAATTTTTGTTTCTCTGTAATCTGTATTTTTTGTCATATTTGTAATCACTTTTTAGTCGCTTTGTAAGTTTATAATCCACTCTTACGATCTCCAGGCCTGCTTGAATACCTATTTCCATGCATGGGGATATTTAATTCAGCCAATATTTTTCCATCTTTCTGTGACCTATTAGCTCATAGAAATGTTTGAGTTCGGTTTTCAATTTTGCGTTCTAATTAGGCATCTTATTTCTGATTCTTCAGGGTTTGGCCCCAGTAGGAGATATAAGTAAGACAGCTTTGTGAATCAGAGACATGTTATAGGATGGTTTCAAAGCAAGGAATTGTGCTCGACAGGTTATTCGTATTTCGAGACTTTGTTTTGAATTCCCGCTTGTTTTCTGTGGCGCTTTGATCAGTGAACCATCGTTAAATAAATTTATTTTAGAGATTTGTTCATATCAAAATTTGCTAAGAAATCTGGTTATTATCGAAACACGTTTACAGTCCCTTTCCGTCCCCATCGTAATATTTGACTACTGGAACACATCTAATACGTCATAATTCTGTTTAGGCATCAGTATTGCATGTGGAGGGAAATTTTATCGGGTAAAGATTGCGACTTATCTGCCATCTTTCGTCATCCGAAAGCGCTATATTTGAGATGGCTACGGTACGTATGTGTGGTAATGTTGTCGTGAAAGTGTCTTGTAATCGTAATTTAGTGAAGGAATTATGTTTGTCAATTTTCACTGAATAAGAAAATATATCGTCTGTTATGTTTTGTTCGTGTAGTGTTATTACGAAGCCGAAAACTTGGCAGTAATTTCGTTGCCATAATAATGCCTAGTTGCTTTTCAAGAAATATTTCAGCAGTTGGTGAGTAGTAATTACTTCTTAAAGATACGTTTAAATATTAATTTACTTTTCTCGATCGCAGTGAAAAGTATTGTGGTGGGAGAAATAACGTAATAGGCCTTAAGTTACATGCCGGTTTAATTCGGACCTACTAGGTAACATGATTGGCTTTTGTGAAGACTGAAGCCAACGTACCAGGCTTATAACGTTAGCAATATTTTTTTCCCTTAAGAAAAGAAAGAGTTGTAATGCTTTTTTCTGGTGGATCATGCTTAATTTTTATGTAGCATGTATGTAAGATAAGTCAGATAAATTATTTACAATAAATTGTTTAATATAGAAATTACATGCAATATAAATTCCAGTTACATGATCAGCCAATGAGTGACAAAACCTTAAATTGTTTGGCAAGAATTGTAATAAGATTTTCCTTATTTTGTGCATATAAGACAAGAAACAAATTTTAAAAAGCTGTAATTAAACGTTTAGGAATTATACTGACATGTATTGTTTTGATTTGACTATGTGACTGGTATGAAGGCTTTTGTACTTTGAATTTTGAATATTTTAAAAAATGTTTTAATCTTATGACACTTTTAGCGAATTTTTGAAATTGTTGTAATGTTTGAAATTTTTTTAATTTTGAAAATTTTAAAATGTTAGATATTTTGCACAATCTTCAAATGTTTTTTGATTTTTTTTAACATTTTGTGAAATTTTGACAAATCCTAATAGAACATATCTAAACGTAACCTAAGTCAACCTACCCATTTTTTGGGAAGGATAACCTAACCTAACCCTGACTATAGTAACCACACCCAACCCTTGCCTGTATGAAGGCTGTGTTCTTTTAAATCTTATATTTTTCGAAATTTTGAAATTCTTAAGATCTTTTGGAATTTTGAAAATTTGTGGAAACATTTTATTTTCAAAAATATTTAGCCAGTTTTGATAATTTTTATGATTTGTAAAATTTTATATATTTTTGTAGCCTATTTTGGAAGTTCTTGTGATTTTGACAATTTTTTAATGTCGAAAATGTTCGTATTTATGAACTTTTTTAGATAATTTTGGAAATTTATGTAATTTTTGAAAATGTTAAGGTAACGGGGTGATTGAGAAAGTTTAGTATTATAAATCAATGAAGATGAGCTAGGTGAGCATACGGGTATGTAGTTCTCATCGAAATGTAACACAAAATTTTGCAAGGAAAATGCAGAGGGAAGAAGCTTCTTGAGATCTGGGCTTTTAGGTTAGAGGATATTATTAAAATGAATCTTAGAGAAATTGAATATGCTGTAAACATAATTAATTTTTTTCAATATTTTTCCAGTACTTGGTTTACAAAGATAATTTTAGCGCCACTACAAAATAAGTGCAGATGATAGACTACTAATTGTTGGTATTGACGTACATTAAAATAAAATTCAATAATTACAACTGAAGTTCATTTATAAAATGCTCTATTATAAACCTTTGACTTTAAAATGATAATCACAGAAGAAAACCACCTTTATTCAAAAGTAAATATGTAAAATGTACACAAATTCGGTAATAGTACTTGGTTCGCATGCTAAATCTATTATTTTACCTGTAAATATCGTTTTTATATACAAAAAGAAAAGGTTATGCATTTTTAAATAGTTTATTTACATACAGTTAATTATGTGGAATTTTTTTTTCTTCCAGATAGTCTTTATGAATGAAAATTCTTAAAATCAGGATAATTATATGTTTTTAAGAACATATTATCACCCATGCGTCGTGCAAACTTTAATCTAATGATCTCAAAGTGTTCTTCTTAAATCGTATACTTGGAAACTCTTAACCCATTCCGTACCGGTCTTTATTCGAGAAGCGTCCTCGTTCTAGAATATCCCCGGTGACGTACGTTTATGACGAAAAGCCGCGGATACTTTGCTTCTAACTTTTGAGCGAGAGTGGGACACAATTCTGTCTACTGATCTTCAGAGGTATGAAATAAATGCTTTTTTGTGAGGCGCGTACAGCATGGAACGGGTTAAGGTACCAAGCATGGAAATTCTAACATTTTCGGAAGGTACTGCCCTCCGTTTATAATTTCATGCCATAACTAAAACATTGGTTCAACATTGCCAATTGCATTTGGGTTGGCTGGTCACGCCGTGAGGGCATTCCTACACGTGGTCAAATCTTTACAGAACGGGACGGACAAAACTGATGTTCCTGCAGGCCCTTAACTGTAATGATGTCACAGGTAGATGTGTCGTCATCTTGGCTTGTAGCGTCGATGTAAGTACGCCACTTCCAGCCAAGTACCGATTGTTCGCTTAAACAGTTAAATGCACTGGGGCTCTGTGATTTCAGATGGGGGTCGCTAATAGTCTGCAGTCGTATGGACCATCATAATATTCTGCATGCATTCCGAAGCACACTCTTCTTCTTGTGAGTCTTCTGTTTACCGGGTCGTAGGATGATGGTTCCATTGCCGTGGTGGGACTTTCCGTTCTGCATAGCGGGGCTGAAGGCGCCTGAAATGAAATTGAAGATGTATTTTGTAAATGTGCAAGAAATGCCTCGGTTTAGGAGACCGAAACGTTCATTGCCGTATTATAGTAGCCGATAATCGGACTTTATCGTGATCCCGTCCGCACGCTTACACTTTGTTTCAGTTTGATTTGTTTTAATTTTATCTTCTTATCTTAGCCCACATCTCCCAAATGGCTTTTTATTCAGACCAAAATCTTTTACACATTTTTCGTTTCCTCTGTCGTACCCTTATCACACTTCTTGAATAACCGTAGTTTTCAGAACGTACCTCTGAGCAGAGATTTAATGCTTTGAAGCTGAAGCTTATGTAAATAATATTTTTAGATTAAGTCTGTAACGCAAAGAATACACGAGTCTCCATTAGCTGGTTAATGCTGTTCGGGAAATAATCCCTGTTTACTCTGAGAACCACATGAGTTACTGTCTTAAAGAGCTAATTTAGTTTGTTTAATTTTTGTTTACATAATTAGTAGCTCTGAATCACATGCTTCATATTGCAGAGTGATCAAGAAGCTAATAGTTGCTCAGATACTCACGAAATTTTGCTGCATTTTCTTTTTGGGAACTCAAAGTTCATTACCATGTTCACAAGACCTTGCCATTGTTCCGTATTCCGAACCAAATAAATCTATTTCGCAGCTTTGTCCCCCGTTTAAAATACATTTTAATATTATCCTCCCATATACACCTAATTTTGAGACCACTGCCCTGCATGCGCTTTTCATCTCTCCTTTTCGCGCCGCTGTCGTCCGCCTTGACTGTACTTACTGATGGTGAGTGGGTGAATGCCATTGCTGGCTCCTGACAGGGCGTACTCCTCCTCTTGGAGGTGCAATTCTGCCAGGCAGCAGGCCGCTAGGTGACGGAACACTGAATTCACGTTGATGTCCTCCTTGACCGATGTCCGTAGCAGCCTGCAGCCGAGCGCCCTGGCCAGCAGGTCCGCTTCCTCCCTGCGGGGTTACCAGTTCCACATCGAGACTTAGGCAATTACCAAATCGAGCAATGCGCTTAAGAAATTAGCTCCGTTCCAACTAATCCAAGTGGCAAAACCGTGTTTGAGGCTAATCTCTGCATTTGTGAGAAATATAAACATTCAGACGTAAATAAATTTAATTCAAATATTGAAATTACGTTCCATTATGATGTGAATGAACCTAGTACTTGAACGTTTTGTGCATGTACGATTTGAGGTTTCGACAGTGATGCAACTATAGCAGTGATATTCTGGGTTGTTGTCCGATGTAGTCGTCTGCCTGTAAATTCGTGTTTTGGGCAGAACAACCACCATGTCCGTTTCTTGCACGTTTAATGATAATTTTACATTAAAATCCTGCCATTCATTGCTTTTTCCTTTGAACGTCCGCCGTTAAATGATTCCTAGCAGTGAAATTTTACATGTACTTACGGATCCACGACACTCTGGTCCAGCAAGTCTATCTTGTTCTGCACCAGTACCGTTGGGATCTCACCACACTCGTCCTCCACCTACCACAAAAGACACAAATTGTACAGATTAGGTTAGGTTAAGGTGTGTCATGTGCTTCCATCTACTAAATGATTTTTTTTTTTGGGGGGGGGGGTCAGAATTATCTCAGATGATTAGAAAAATATTCCAAAATTATGAGTAAAGTAAGACAACTGATCAGCCTTCTGGTAAGATGGAATGATTAATATGGTTTCAACAATCTTATATTTTCTTACACTTCAATTACTCAAAGTTCGTAGGCCACTCTTACGATCTCCAGAATTTTTAATTCAGCCAATATTTATGTTAGAGATCTGATCAGACCAAAATTTGCTAAGAAACCTGGTTATTATCACAGCACTTTTACAATCCCTTTCCGTTCCCATCGTAATATTTTACCACTGGATCACATTTAATACGCCATAATTCTGTTTAGCCGTCAGTATTGCATAGAAGGGAAATTTTATTTTGGTCCTTCTAGGTGTAATGAAGACTGTAAACATGTCCAGCTTCGGATGAGGCCCTCGTATCATTTTGGAGGACAAATTCCAGTAGCAAATGTTAGGTGTCTGAGTGTCATTACGTCAGTGAACGGAGGTTTTACGTGAAGAGGAAAGCGTGCATCGTAGATGAAGGACAACTGGGTGCGTCTGTACTGACCTTCATCTTCCAAGAGTGAGCTGCCTCGAAGGAATCTCTGTCTGTGGTGGAGAAGGCAAGCACGCAGGCCTGCGCCCCGCGGTAGTAGGCCTTGGTGATGGCGTCGAACTCTTCCTGGCCCGCCGTGTCCCACAGCATTAGCCTCACCTCTTCGCCGTCCAGCCTGCGGAGGAAAACAACGTGACAGGGTGACGCGAGAAGACTGTGGAAAACATTCTGAGGTAATTTCGAAGAATAAGAATGAAGAAGGGAAGATAAACTGAGACTGGAAGAGACGAGAAGGAAAATGGCGGTAGAATGAGATGAAAAAGGAATTGAGATAGAATACAGTAAGATTGAAGACGAACATGGGAAGAAAGCGGGAGGTGGTTCATCTGGAGAATAAATTAAGAGGGGGAGGAGATGAAGGGAGCAAGAAGACCGATGTCGTAAGAATATTTAACCGGTTGGCTGGCATCCACAGAATGAAGCCGACTGGCATAATCTTGCTCTCATAGCCGACCTCTGGAGTGCGAGTACACACGCTGACCGTTAGCCTCGGTCTGTCTCCGCGGATATAAATCACGCGTGAGGTTGTGAACTG